ATTAGGTACTTACAGACAAAAACTAAAAATATGTGTGGGACATGTGTTTTTGAGCTAGTAATAAAACAACATAAATAAAATGGAATTGGAATGCCATTTTATACTTTAACTTTTCAACAATATATTAAAATTATACTATAGTAATGTTAGTCTACTTATTGATATTTGCATATGTTGAATAATAAGATATAATAATTAATATGTTCGATGGACACGAATTTAATTTATTTAAATAATAATTGTATTATTGACAAAAGGTTGAATGACATCAGTGAAGCAATGATCCCACCAACATTAGGAAAACAAATAAATATGCACTAAATAATAGCTATTTGGTATATACATTTTAACTGTTCTTCCAGTAATTGTTTTTTGCTGTTTCTGTTTATTTATTTCAGTATAGTTCAAAAACATTATATTTTACAACTAAGGGGATCACCCAGCGTTGCCAGGAAAAAAATTGTGATTGTTCAACTCTTTTTGGGTGTAACAATGTATTATTAACTGCAAATTATATTATATTTGAATTTATAGCTATCCCGACCGGCGTTGTCCGTGATATTCGCTTGTGATTATGCGAGCAGTATATCATCAATTATATATAATTCGAAAAATGTAATGGACAAATCTGAGGCGCCTAAATAAATTCTAACTATCGAGGTCCCCTACCCCTTAATTCCTCATTTTATCAGACATAAATTATTTACTCAAAAAACTTCATCGTACCTATGGTTCAATTTGTATATGGAGCTAATGGTTGGAACGGATGGAAAAAGAGCTAATTGTAAGAACATTTAATGGAAGATGAAATACTTTCAATAATTTTAACCATCTAATCAGATAATTATTTATTTTTAAAGAAAATTCAAGCAGTTAATCTGATAACTATTTGAACTATATAATAGGTATTAACTATTAGATAATAGTAGTAGTGACCCTTTATAGTTTATACTTTATAGGTACCGAATAATATGCATGTATAGCTGGAAATTATTTGAACGATCCAAAAATGAGTCTTTTAAGTTTCCAAGATATGATTGTTTTCCTGACACTATAATTTGTATTGAATTTTTCTTTTTATTTGTTATGGTTTTGTAATCACCATTCATCGCTGTTCATTATTTACATTATTAAATAAATAAATAATGACCATGACAACGTAAAAAAATGTAACATTGAATTATGCACCTACCTATCTAATTCATGTATTATTAATAAAATATAAAGTAATAATATGATATGCGAATTTCCAATGTGTATTTAATTACTATAGTTAATTAATTAAACCATTCATTCATTAATTCATTCAAAACTGTAAACTGACTACAGTACAGTAATTAGTAATATTATTATTAATCTTCAGTAATTAGTTGCGATATATAAACACAATAAGCTAATATAAACTATAAATTATATTGATACGCTTTTAATTTTCGATACCGTTTTTCTAATAAATTATAATAAATAAATTACTAGGTAAATACTATAATCGATATGTGCTTGTCGAATATTTAATTTAATAATATATTTATTAACTAGAACAGCGCATATATTTATATAATTATAATTTATATTGACTAGTAAGCAGTAGCCAGTAATATATTATAGGTATACTGAATATCTAACGATGTAATAATATAATATATAATTTATTCATATTTGTAACATTAATTTTGTTACGTATTATACCTAATAAATTATTTTATTTTGTTTAAAATCATAACACATTTTTTAATTTCAGACAGGAAACAGTATTACTGGTTATTTTGTTGTCATATATTATATTATTATTATGTGTTGCTATAGGTACTAGGTAGGTATTACTAAGCTCACTTAAATGCAATTTTTTTAATAAAATAATTTTTTTTTACTTTAATATTAAATCGTTATTTGCTGAAGTCTTTTAGATTTAAATTGTTATTCTTAAACCATAGCAAATTATTCTCTACATTACGTAACTTTTTGAGTAGGTTGTAGGTACTTTTCATCAAAAGTGTAATCACAGTTCAAATGTTCAATCGAAAAATAAAAACCCATTGTTTATTATTATGTACAACTATAATCACTATATACGTCTCTACCTACTCAAAAACTAAATTTTGTATTTTATATTCTCTTACTTTTACCTGACTCCCCATTTTTTACTTTGAATCCATTTCGAATACGTCTAGATGATTTTAACTTATTTTTCGTACCTAATTCTGGTTTTTTAAAAATAAGGTTTTTTTTTGATACAATATGACCAACTATATTTGATTCTGTTTTTGTTTTTTTTTGTTTATCATTAAAATGTGTTGAGTTATTGATGTCTTTATTTGGGATCTGTAATAAAAAAATAATTGTCTGATTAATAAATATATATTTACTTTAAAACACGATATTTATTACAACATAATATGAAGAAGTTATATCTTTTGTGATAACAGTTTCCACGCACAGCAATAATTTATAGACAAAAACCGACAAATAGCTAATACTTATGAAAGTATAACGTATCATGGTTTTGAAATATTTTAGCAAATACTATTAAAAAAAAAATTATCATACACTGTATATAGTGGACATTTTCTATGACAACCTATTGAAGAATAAAAAAAAAAATGAATCTTTTTAAACCTAATGTATTTTATGTTACTACTTGTTATTTAAGTATGTAGGTACTCATAAAATAAATATAAATAGGTGTAGCCAAGAGGCAATGATTGGGTTTTGAGCACTTGTCTTGGTAGTACGAGTTATATTTATCCTCAAGCTCGATCATCAAAAAAAAAAAATAAAAACAATTTAAGATAATGATCATGTTATTAATGTTTAAGCATTTTTATTAACTTCTTGGAAATTAAAAAAACTCTATACAGGTTAGTGTGTTTGTGGTATATGTGTTTATTTTTTGAAAAATAAAAAACATTCAGCAATCATAAAATAATGACAAAACCTATTGTGAATAATGATAATAATAATGGCGAATCGTTTTTAATATATGAAGTTTATTTAGTGTTGGCCATTAAACGTCGATTGAGTAGATTTTATGGAGAAGGGTAAAAAAGGTTTGTAAACACAATATTAATTTATTAATAATAAGTACCTATATTATATGAATTACGATTTGCCTATATGTATATGAGTAGGTATATATTATGGAACATATTTGAATAATTTAATTTAACTACCTATACTTAAAATTATTGTATGGATTCTTTTTTATAAACGATTTTAGGATATTATATTATGTTTGTAAACACAACAACCGAGTTCATATTGAGTTTAATCTATAATTTCTGAAAGATAAATAATTTATAAATGTATATGCTTAAGAATAGATAATTAACATCATAATAAACTGTATAATACATTAATACTTAGGTAGAAATAATAAACTTTTAATAGTGTTAACACATATAGCCATTTACTATTTAGGTAGGTATCTATTGGCTATTACTCAAATTAGTTTGTCATTCGTATATTAATATATCATACTACCATATAATATTGGTATAATTTGTATATTTAATTCCTGGTTATAATAATTCCACTAAATAAAATTGTTGAAGTGTCTTATATAATACATAATATTATATACAAATAATAACAAATAAACAAGTTCTGAAAGTAGTGTATAAAATGTAGGTATACTTAGATAGCGTATAAGATATATACAATTTACTTAAAATCAAGTTTAGATGTATATACACATTTAGACAGATCATTAAAAAATGATTATAACTATCCGTTGTTAAAAGTACGTTGAACTAAACATATTCCAGCAGAAATTATATTATATGCAAACTTGTTCGGTAAGCATGATTTTTTCAAGGTTCCGTGAAAAATATAATGCTGAACAAAAAGTCGACACCCTTGGATAGGTACCTGTTACAAACAATTTTGGATGCACCATTATATCAGTGGATTTAAATTATATTATGATATAAAAGAATAATATATCAAAACCTGCATATCTGAAACCAGTGTTAAAAAATATTAAAAGTCATAAATAAAACATTGAACATATTACAAACACCTACCTTATTATGGATCAACAGTCAATTTTGAAAGAAACAACTCTTATACTGCACACTATTATTGTAGTATATACATAGGTTTAATATCAAGATTAAATAAAATACATTTCATATTGAAGTCAAATATCTGAAAGTTCAATCGTCTCGGTATTTTTCTATGAGTAGATAGGTATTATCAAATATTCAAATATTTATGTCTTCGCTATCTAATGAATTAGTATAATAGTATATAGTCACTAAACCACTCTTACTGAATTTATTATTATTCACAATCCAAATATAATATTTTTTTTTCAGGATTAATATACTGCAGCATGTGCAATCGTATACAAACAATAGTGTATAAGTATCTGATGCGACAAACACTGCAGCGTATTCAATGAATATAATGTTATGTATTTATCAAAACATTAACTTAATATATTTTTATATTGTGACACAACAAATAATAGATGAGAGTAAAACTCAACCACCGGAAAAACGGACGACGTTTAATAAACATAATATATAATATGTCCTACATTTTTTCAAATAACGTCTTAATTGTAGTGTAAACACAATGCAACCATATTATTATAATATTATGTATTACGTGTCCAAAAAGTATATAGATAGATTACGTGAATGCACGACAAACAAAACACACGTAACAACAGAAATGCAATGTGGTTATATTTGTTAAGTAATAATAATAACACTGTTTAATATTCATTAAAAAAAAATCTTCCCAGTGCAGAGTCACAAATGGTTGCTCATCAACAGCCTCCAACAATGGTTCTGGAAAAACTATACTCTGTTCCTACGACAGATTATTAATAAGTATACATTTTCACTTTTATTTTTCCCGTGTGCGACATCCGCATATTGTCTCGTGTGCCATATATATACCGCTGTGTTTACCAATTTTCGAGACATTGCGATTTTCACCACACACGTCGCTGTATATCTAATAATATTTGTCATTTTCACTGCAGCTCTGCAATGGTAAACAAAAACAAACACGTGTTTTCGGCTTCTAAAATGTCCGTACATTTATCTCGACATTGTTTTTCCAGGTGTTCAAATCGGTCGTATACGTTTTGGTGTCTATTCAACTGGTCGTTTGTGCGCTGCCCAACTCGTTTGAAATGCCATCCAAGTAAGTATATTATACCTACCAAATACCATCTAATAAGACATGACGTACTGTTTTAAATGTGTTTGAAAGATAAATGTAAAATTTTACTTTTTAATCGTTCAATAATTTATGCACCTATAAATTACCTACCGACACAGTGGCTACTGAATATTCATTATTAAATAATTATACTTTTAGTTTTTATAAAGTGAAATGTAGGCATAATTCAGGAAAATTGGGGTTAAAAATGTCAAGTTCCTAGGTGATCAAAACAAAATATATAACAATAATATTTGTTTAGTGATGAGGTTGATTGTATTGATAAGTATTAAATTATTTTGTATACAATCGACTGTGTTAAATGTATATAGGTAAAACCTTATAGGTTAGAAATTGGTTATTAGATGGGTTGGTCACCCCTTTTTGAATTTGAATACCTAGTTAAAATATTCGAACTTTGTTCAATATATTTAATCATAAATTCATCAACTAAAATATAATATATTATGTACCTCTCTGATTTAATAATATGGCGTACACACTTCAATTTTGAATTGGCCATCAATAATTTTAATTTTAATATAATATTTTCTAATTATTATAAAGCTATATAAAGCAATTTTTAAAAACATTGATATGCATTTGAGTAACTATCGATAAAATCTCCACAAGACTTTTTTTTTCAACTGGCAAACCATATTTTATTATTTATTAAACTATAAATATTATTATTTATAAGTATTAGGTAGGTGCTATATTATAGTATATTTTATAGAAATAATAGGTACATACAACTGAACTCTCCTGTACCTACTCATAACTAATATAATATTACTTCGTAATAAACACTAATATCACTATTGCACAAATATATTGAAATACGGAATTGCAGAGTAGCTCCCAAGTGATTTTATGAAATAGTGTTTCGCAAACCTGTATATTTTACCGAGTTAAGAACAATGATGCAATCAGATTGTGTCGGTCGGACTTAGTTTCAAAGTTATAACCTTTTGAAGTTATTTTGAGTATTTTACGTTCACTCAGAATAATCCATGAATACTATGTATGTAATTATTCATGATGCATTATATACTTACATTATACATATCACAATGATTGCACTGAGAGGTGCTTATGATAAAAACCAATTTTTTTCTTTATGGGAGGGGTTGTAAATATTTAAATCACCCACACAAACATGACTAAATTACGCCAATGTAAAAGTGGGGAAATGTACATTGATCTATTCAATTATTATGTGTTATAGATGTGAATTAATTATTAATAGATTACCATTTACTTATCAGGATACTATATTATATTAGGTACCTACATAATATATTATATTTACCACCTGGACATAATTAATACACTTTTTTCTACAAGCATATCTGCATTTTAACTATTTGCATCATTAACAAATATATCGTGAAAATCGAGAAGGAGATAATTCAGAAACTGTATACCAAGCCAACCCTTATATTACCACCATCTGAAAACATATTTTTACCTACTGCATGATTGTAAACGGCGATTTAGAAACATTTCAGCACTCATATAAAATAAACTACAGTATAATAATGACACATACTCGTAACTTTGTACTTACACATTTTTAAGTTCTACTACATTATTACTATAGTCGTCCTAACCTAACCTAGTATTACAATAAGGGTACACCCTTTATTTTAAATTATAATAATATGAATAAATACTGAAATATATTATTATGATATTTATATTTATTGAAATAACAGAGTGATTTATATTTCATATGCGATTACTTACCGACTCGGCGACTCGTTGGTATATAAAAATATAAAATATATAAAAATGTATTTATATGTAATTTTTTTCTTTAAGGCTCCGACGACCGAGGTCATTAACCTATAAGGTTGGTAGGGGTTGGTACAGTAGGGTTGGTACAGTAGGGTTGTAGGTGTACAGGGTTGGGTGTACAGTCGGTTAGGAACACGTGTATGTGCGGCAAGTTTTTTGCGCACTACGAACCCTGGTGGTCACCCATCCGAGAACTAGTGGCAACGGCTATTGCTTACTCTCAATCACGTTACATATTGATTTCAGCCACTGTGAAGCGCTGAGCCAGGTTTGTCAATATTATATTGCCCACGTTCTTATTACCTACCTATATAATAATGTCAGAGGTTAAATTGAATTCCTTCAATATTGGATATTTGTACGATATTTTACGTTTGCTTTCTAACTATATAGTGGAGTGCTACCGAATCCTGTAACGTATTTTGAAGGCGTACAAAACGAAAACAAAACAAATGCTGGACGCTCACACGAGGCTAGATTTGGATACATACCGTCATCTTTTGGCGGATCATCAACTGGAATGGGTGTAAGTATAAACAGATATTTATATTACCTATTAAATATAGGTATAAATTACAATGCATGCTGCAGTATAATATTATTAATATGTATTCATTAAATTTAAAACGTCTAAAATTATTTGTCAATCAACGGACTTAGAACTAGATATGTCAGTATATTTTCATAATTTTAGGGTCTTTTAAATATATTATATAAGTTATGTTTGTAAGTAGAGTACCTAATATTATTGTGAATTACAAAAACAAGCAAATAAGTTTTTAGGGTAGACGAGGAGGAAAAATTAATAATATACTGCATACAAGTCATGTTACATAAAAAAATTAATAATTTATATTAAAATAAAATTGTTTGTTTAAGGGATATCAAGGTAATTCGGTCAGTAGCTATGGATCCAATAAAATTGATATAGGAGGTCTGGTTGTTGGCGCTGTAGTCGGGCTTGGAATTTTAATTTTCATCCCGAAAATTCTTTACTTACTATTTTCGACAACTAATCTTTTTGGTGCTCATCCAGTCGGCACCGGTTACTCAGGATATGGAAGGAGTGAGTTAAAAGAGTAATTTATTCATCTATAATTGTTACAAATATTAAATAAATCTTAGGTACCTATATTGTTTTTATATTTTTCTCATGTGTCGTTGGGATTTTGAAAGATATCTGCTAATTTTTCAATTTATTATACGTAGGTACACGTAGTATTTTATCCATGGTTAATTTTTCCTCAGCCTTGATTTATTTAAATTAGTTTGTTTTACATTTCTTATTATTTTTTTTATATTTATTGTATACGTTTTCATTATTTTCTTAATTAGTGTTACTCATTAGTTATTAACTATTTATTAACCTATAACAATGTCTCAGAAAATTACTTTATCCTACTTAGTTGGAGGTTTAAATAAAGTGGATGGGTACGTATAATAAGATTGATATGATTCAATGCATTGTACCTACTTCATTTTTTACATATTTGTTGTTTGTTGTTACATAAATATGGCATAAAAGATAAAAATATCTGTTAACACTTATAGGTGAGGATCTAATGTCTGGTTTAAATGGTATAGTCACAAAGTTTGAAGAGTCCATGTCCAAATACAATATAAATACAACAGAATGTATGCAAAAAGCACTGTGCACTTATATACAGTCCACGGAACAAGTTAAAGAAAAATCAGGAATAAATAATTTTGTAGACACTTCAATTAATACTTTAACACAGTACGTAATGTTTATTTTATTTTAAGTCATAATAAATGAATAAAAAAACGTGTTTTTCAATAATTTATTGTAAAACCTGTCTTAGGAATTCTGTAATGAATTTTATGATTGATGGTTCGAGATTCAAAGCAGCTCTTGAAGCCGGGAAGAATGGAGAGTGTACGACTGCCTACAGACAATGTCCGTTCGACCAAAATAGCATTTATATGTTCTTAAGACAAATTTCAACTAAAAAGTAAATCATAAGTAAATTTTTTTGTAACATTACATATAATAATTGTATCTATATAATTTAAATTAAGTCCTTAAGTACTTTTTATAGTATACTGGAAAATACATTAGAGTTTATTATAAAATATTATAAATGTTTAACTTTATTTATACGATATACTAATAACCTATACGCATCATACATTATAATAATCGCACAAACGTTTGTACCTAAATTTGAAAATCCTACAATAACTATAAGTCTATAGCAACAAATATCCATTAAAATCTACCCTTGTGTTTTTTTTCAATTTTTATTATTTCATTTTTCGATTTTATTATTAGGTATAATTTATTACTATTTTATACAGGTAATTGTTTAGTACCTACATATATCCATTGTATTAACTAAATAGTAGGTATTATACAATATAATAATAAATTAGTTAAAAATAATATAAGTAAATATATGTAATATACCATATCTATAATTATATATTTTTTTATTTACCATTATTTTTATAATTACATATGAATTAGGCAACTTTAACTACTTTATTTATTTTTTTTTAACAAAAATAATGGATAGTAATTTATTAATAACTATATATATATTCATACTGATTACTACAAATAAATTTAAAAATATAAAATAAAAGTAATAGGTATTTTACTATTATGAATCTGTAAGAGGAAAACGATTAAAGGGCCTCACTACCATGTCTTTTTTTGTCAAAACTACTGTTTCTAATTCCAACGATACGTGTCAACAGTTATTCACGTTTTTCATTCTGAAAATAATATTCGGATTGTCCGTAATATATACAAGGAGACAATTGATGTAATTTACATTGCAATAAAAATTGTAAGAATTTAAAAAAAATCAGAATTTCCAACTTAAATATTTAATTGACCAAATACAATTTTAAAAATGCACCTCCATCGATCCCTCTTACATGTTGTGGAAAAAAAGATTATTTTGTCAGAATAGAAATCAAGGTAATCGTTGCGACGATATTGTTGGAATTAGAATCGTATGTTTAAGTGAAAAAAAATCATTTTTTCATGATCACAATTTATATTACATACCTACTGACATGTGGGTGCGACTTCGTGTGAGAGCCATCCTTACCTCCTTACAGTTACAATTGACCCGCATGGACGCCACAGACACTAATAATCATTTACGATTAACACAGATCTCGGGTGGCGACGACGAGATTAGAAATTGCCTAAATGATTCTCCTTAAATCAATGCAATAGAGAGGCCCCTTAATACAATTATTTTCCTGTAAAAACTTGTAGTTTTTAATTACAAAATAATTATTAAATTTTAAATTTGTCAAAACATCGAAAATTTTCAAATTGTTTTGTATTTTTACAAATTTATAAATTTTTCTGTTTCTATAGCTAAGGATTGAAAACTTGAAATAAGGTATCTCATGAGTCATGACATTCTACACGAAAGTGACGTACTTAAAATGCCTACCTATAACGCCGTATTAACATAATATAATCATTGAAGTATAATAATATAATATTTTGAGAGCGGAGAAATAGAACTATAGTCTACAACTAGTACAACTACATTGTACGATATATTATGAGCATATGAATATATTATTTTGATTTTACAAATTACTTATTTGTGTATCTACTGCACCCAGGACCGGATTTAGAACAAGTGCCTCAATAGGCCATTTTAAATATGCCGCCCCTACCCCAAGAAAAAATGTTGTAATTATTTCTAATAAATTTATTTCATATTAAAAAAATTAGGTCAATAGTCATTATAAACAAAACAAATAATTATAAATTATAATTAGGCATTAGCAGTGTAAATTTTTAAAAATTATAAAATATTAATTTACGCAGTTATATAAATGCATAAAATATTTATATGATTTTTTTTTATTTCTTACAAAATTTGCCGTCCCAAAAAATTTACCGCCCTAGACGGCCTCGCGGGCCTAGCCGTAAGTACGGCCCTGACTGCACCTAACAACATTATGATAATCTATACGGTTAATGTTGAGTTGTCGATCATCAAAATTCAAATGGAACAAGGTAAACATTTTTTACATATTAGACAACTAGTATTAGATTATTATGACGTTATACAATTTTAAACGTTTGAATTGAATATTCACGACTGCAGATATCTAAACAGTACTTATACATAATTTAATAGTGTGCGAGTGCGTAATACGTTTTATTTATAACACTTGTTATTTAATTGTATAGGTATTATCTATATAGAGACGCACTCTATAGCGGCCCGATAAAAAATAGTCGGGCTAAGGAAAATATCGAATATTGTACAACCAGAAAAGAATAATACATGACTTTTGTATAGGTATAATAATATGTACGTGTGTTCGACCATGAGTAAATGGGGTCTTTGCTCTTATTTACTTTTTATTTTATTTTCCATCAAAGGCAATCGGGCCCACTGATCCGTTACCTCAGATTTCTTTTTAAACAAATATTATAAAGCTACCTACTGGTTAATATTATCGTGCTTTTACTCAAATAACGGCATGTGGGGAGTAGTGGAATTAATGCAATACTGTGGCTGGGAGACGCGCGAGGTGAGATCACTAAACGACCAGCAAAGAAACCATATTAGGTCCAGTAAACGTCTTTATATTATTGCGCACCGGTGAAACTGTCTTTGGCTTTTCTCTACAAGGAAAATCTATGAATCATAATTATTAAATATGTTTTTGTTGAAAAGTAACCATTACAACAAATACCTTTACAAAAAACATTTTTCATGAAAGAGAGGAATATATAAACTTTAACAGCTAATAATAAATACTAACATATTAAATTGTTTTTGTAATAAACTTACATCACAAAACAATAGTTTAAAAGGTGTTCCTAGGGTTTATTATTATAGGTACCTGTTGTATATAAAATATGCTATGAAAAATCAAAAAATCAATTGCTAATAAATCAGAATCCACAGTTATATTTTTGAATGTTTTTTTGTGACACAGACTAACTTATTTGATAGAATAACCAAACTAAGGAAATCCAGGAAACCCAGAGAAATTCGTTTTTACAATTTTATTAAAGAACGATAAGTAAAGATTAGTTATAATAAATTTGTAATTTACGACTTCCTGATTAGAGTAATAATCTATAACATCAGTGGCGTAGGCAGGAATTTTGAATGGGGGGTGGGGTGGAATATATTATATTCATATTTTTTAAGATAAATCACAAGGTATAGTGACTCCAGTACTAAGTATTATACATAAAAAAGTGACAAGTGGGTACTGATCTTGCTATACAGTAGGTGTAAAAAGTGTAAAAAAAAAAACAATGAACACTTCTATTAATAGATCAAAATGAAACAAAATATTTTGTAGGTTTTAAATTTTCATGTATATAAAATAATAAAATAAAATATTTTTCAAGTACCTATGGTTATTAGTTTCTGAATTACAACAAAATAAGAAATTCGTATGAGATTTTGTTAATTTACAGGTATAATATTAATATTAATATCCAACATCCAACTTTAGACACATATAATAAAAAAACTATAGATTTAAGCTCAACTTCTTTTTTAATTTTAACTAACATCAACTTTCGAGAAACCTAGTATTAGGTTTTTAAGTTTTTTGACAGAGCAAAAACATTTTTATAAATAATAATTTAAAAAAAAACTATTACATATCTAAATTTGTTCTGCCTATAAATAGATTAAAAAGAGTCGAAATATTTTTAAAATGTTACTATGTATATTAAATGGTAATATAAACAATCGGTGATAAATAAGACAATCGATTTTTTAGAAGTTTTGCGAAAAAAACTGGTTTCCTTATTTTATTTTATTTCCTCAATTTTGTAAATTTCTGATAATTTTTTACTTTTGATCAATTTTTCTCCAAAATACCATCTAGATTCACTTTCCCTCCAGAAAATATGCTGAAGTAGAAAATCGAAGGATTTTTACTGCCCCAAAAGGTGATAAAAAAAACAGACACCATTGTAAAATCAATACAATTATCTCTTCTCTCAGAATCTAAAAAATGGCCATGGATCCATCCCACATATCACCCGTGTCTACGCCCAAGTATAATATTATATGGTTAGATCCCTAATACTGAAATATAAGTAAAGATTATAGGTTACCCAATTTTATAAAGTCATCTACAAACAAAAATAATTATTAAATTCGGGACTTTATTTACCTTATTTTTTTTCGTCGGACTTTTTCGGGGTACTTTTAGGTAGAATACCCCTCTTTATAGCTTAATACGTTTAAAAATAAATATACACACATATTTTTATATTTATTCAAAAAATTAGACAAATTTTGTAAAATAGTTTCTAATTATTTTATTTACAAATTTAATATAATAAGAACACACGATAGCGCTGTTTAACAGTGTAATAAAGTATATAATACAATATATTATAATAATAGTATACAATATAATAATACATAATATCTAATATTAAAACAAAATATATTATTAATTATCACAAAGCTTACAATTATAAGTAGTTTGGAAAACAACATCCGCAACAGCAAACAAAGTCCAGCAGTTTTTTTACCGAGTCACAAAACCCTTTGGGTGGATTGGGTATCATCACTGTAATGGTCTCTTCCGAAAAATGTACGTGTTTTTTACCATCGTTCTTTCGAATGGCGAACGCTGAGTCATCTTCGATGTCTACCACTGTTACGTCTTCGTTTTCTGCACTGTCTGTAACAATGAAAACACAATTAACAGAATATAGTGATGACTCGAAGACCGCACTTCCGCATAGAGCTCGTCATAAAAATCAAAAGTTTGAAACAAAACGTTCAAATACGCACTAGACATCTGAAAACGTTCCAACCGGACTAGCTAGCTATATACCTACCAACTGAGTTGAGAAAACGTCAACAATCATACATATTATTATTTATTATAGTTATCGAGTTCAATGTCAAATGGAAGTTCTTATAATCCGGTACCTGCGCATGTATATAATGAAAAGAAAACTACTATATACATAATATTAACAT